TACAAATAAATTATATAGAATTACAAATAAATTAAGTCACTCTGTCCATCTGCAATTTTTTTTAGAAATCAGAACTGAAATACATTACTCTTGTCTCCTGAAATTTGGAAGCAGAAACCTAAGCTGGACTAACAAGAGCTGTTAGAAGAACGTTTGGGTGATGGAAGCATGGCACTTCCACCAAGAAATAACAAGTTTTGGGGGCACTGAGATGGGAAGTAGAAAGAGAGGAAAAGGGTTTTGCAAAATGTAACAAAGGTACTGACTCCACATGGCAAGCAATCAAAAGTCACTGGATGTATTTATTTGACTGTTTATTTTTTTCTTATCTGCAATTTCAGGATTCAATTCAAGACCGCAAGTGTCATATACTATGCTTATTGCTATTTCACCTGTGTGAAATAGCCCCTATCAAACATAAATGCACTACTAAATTTAGTGAGCATTTTAATTATTATTAAGTTACCTTTTCTGTCAATTCAGGGACTAAAGCGATATACAACTGGCAGACAGAAGCATGGGCTTGTCTACATCCGTGTGCAGCACACTCTTGACAAAGGCCACAGATGTTTGATTAAATTGCCTTGCTTAGTTATTTAAAGCTTATTTAGTTCTTGCTCCTGAATGCTGAAATGTTCACTCTTCTAGGTGACTGGTCTTGAGTTCATGGCACCTTCCTCATAGCAACCCTAAACCATGCTGATGTCACTCTGTGCACTAAACATGAAGTTCCTCAGTGTCATCAAGGCCAGCTCCAGAGCCACTGCTGCCACTGCCTTCTCTTGCATCAACAGAGCACCTGCTGACACCTGCCCTGTCCTTCACCCCCTGGAGCAGGCAAGGAGTAGCCCTGCCCCTCCTCCCAGGTCTCAGTGTAATCATTTTCCTCTAGGGAGGCTTACAACAGAGGCTTACAACAAGACCCCTCTGATCTCCACCACTGCCTCTGTGGTAATGGGGTTGGATCAGGAGCTCCAAAGCAGTCTTAGGAAAACCTGTTCTCAAATCTCACCAAGACTAAGGCGGCACTGCACACCTGCTTTGCATTCAGACACTTTTGAAGTTCTGTCTTGGCATAAGAAATGTCAGTAGTTCATTTTTTATAAGCCTAAGACACCAAAATTCTTTAATTAAATGTTGCTCACGGTCTACAGCTTCCAAGTTTAAGCTGTTCAACAGACAGGACTTTAAGCTTTCACAAAGCTGACAAGCCTTGCAGCTACTACTCATACACCCTAAATTTCCATAACCATGTTAATTCTGATCACAAGGCTCACATTTACTCTTGTAATGTAAGTTCCCTTCCCTAGCTATTATATCCATCAGTTTTTGCAGCATACAAAGCTGCTACATAAATATTAGTTCACACTTTACATTACAATGCAATATGGTAGTAGAATTTTACTGGACTCTTTGGTATTGATCATGGTAAAGTAAAAGAAACCAAAGGACAGCTCGGCCCTGTAAATGCTGACTTTACTAGACACTAAATATAATAAAATATATAATAAATATATTAGATAATAAAATATATGCCTGGGTGACCAACAAATGTCAGCATCCTAACCCCTCTAACACCTCTTGGAAACCCTCCCAGTATTGGCTGGCATCATAGATAATTAAATAAAGTGAAACTGATTTTAAGAACATCTGGATTAGTTGAAAAGCAGTAAAAAATATAGGTGCTTTACAAAGTTTTACTATGATTAGTATTCAGTACTGTGGGTGTCAGCCACTAGTCAAACAAATTGTGTTATATTCAGCATTTGAAAGCTACAAGAACCCTGTGTAAAACCACATTCAGGATGGCCCAGTTTGGCTAGGATACCTCATGCACACAAATATTTACTCTTGTAATGCTGCATTTTGCATCCTAGCTCTGCTCCTCAAGTCCACAAGAGTCTGTTGCAAATTTTCGTAACATCCTGCAAAGGTCAAAGCCAATATGTCAGCACTTCTCCCTCTTGCAGTGTCGAGGACTCTTGTTACTTCTCGAGGTTTTGTGCACTCACACCTAGCAATAGCTTCAGCAGTCCTTGACAAGAATCTTTCTGACTGTCATCCATGAAGCCTCTTGGCCTGAAACGTGTACCTCAAAGCGCATACAAACCTCTGCGTGCATTTCCACAGCCCAGTATTGCCCAGTCTAGTGCAGAGAAAGGGAGAAGTGTTTTCACGGCAATTGTGTGATATCCGGGGCATGACATCAAGGGCTGGATGCCTTTCCTGTTCATGCCAAATCAGTAAAACACTTTTAGTACAAGAGGTTGTAGCTCATTTCAAAGTACATGAATTGAAAAGCCTGAAGAGTCATTTTAGTCATAACTGAACAAGCCACAAAGAAAATACAGTCTGGAAAAACAAGGTCAATTTTACATAAATTTTACTGTTCAGTTAATGTTTCTGGTTAGATTAGAGATTTTGTTTGGACTTTACTACTAGGATACAAACTGTATTGAATTGGTAAGAATTGTGGAGAAGGTAAAAGAAACAAGCTGTGAAATTGTCATCTTACAAGTATCAGCAGACAGAGGTTCTGCTTACTGTGAATCTTCATTTCACTGTGCTGCTATAAAACAGCAGTATTGATCTGGCTCTGTATGCATTGCAAGTGTATATTTCAAAGTATGTAAAATGATAGATAAAAGGCTTCACAACAGTCAGGAAACATCAGCATTTTGTTTGCTCTGCATCCTCATACTCTGCATCTCTGGGGCTTCTTGGATTGGAGCAGGGAGCATCTTCACTAGATGAAACGTGGTAAAGCTTTAGCACAAGAAATAAGGATGAACTAAGAACCCAAAATCTGTGATCTGGCAGACATTGGGTAATAATTGGCATAGGCATCGGTCCCAAAACCTCAACTGTCGGACTGGTAAATAATCTTCACTCTAGTTAAGGAAAAAAAAAATTATAATTTATGTTGAACAAACTAATGAAACTTGGCTCTTCATTTATAAATTCCTTCTTTAAATTAAAATGTATTTGAAATATTCACTTGCAATGCATACAGAGCCAGATCAATACTGCTGTTTTATAGCAGCACAGTGAAATGAAGATCCACAATACGCAGAACCCCTGTGTGCTGATACTTGTAAGATGACAATTTCACAGCTTGTTTCTTTTACCTTCTCCCCACAATTCTTACCAATTCAATACAGTTTGTATCCTAGTAGTAAAGTCCAAACAAAATCTCTAATCTAACCAGAAACTGAACAGTAAAATTTATGTAAAATTGACCTTGTTTTTCCAGACTGTATTTTCTTTGTGGCTTGTTCAGTTATGGCTAAAATGACTCTTCAGGCTTTTCAATTTGTGTACTTTGAAATGAGCTACAACCTCTTGTACTGAAAGAAGGAGGACAACTTTGGGTTTTATGATGAGGGTTTCCTGTGGGGAAGGTGTGGGTCAAGGAAACCAGACTCAATACAGTGTTTGCAATGATTTGAACCACAGGAGTTGGCACAAATATATGGCAAGCCAGAAATCACAGTGGAACTGCAAGCATTTCCAGTTCAAGTGGATCTTGTGAAAGTACTACTGTTATATTTAGACAAAACCTTTAACAAGACTTCTCCATGTCCACTCTAAGAATTATTTTCATCATCTTCACTTTGATTCTGTATCACCTCCTAAAATCAAATTAGATTTTATGTTCCAGTGTTAGACTGCCATTACCCATGCCAGACTTCGGTTTGCACTATGAATTTACTCATTTATTAGGAATTTAATAATTTCATAGAACACCACAGGAAAGCAGTGGGAATGGATGCAGAACAGGTAAGAATTGCAAACTGCAGAAGCTGTGCCAGGATGCAGGACTGGCAATGGAGCCATTGACAAACATACAAAGGGATAGGAGTAGAAGTAACAGCAGCAGAGAAGAGGAAGGAGAGAGAGAGGAAGAAATCTGGATGCAGAGAGTTGTCAGCTCACTACAGCCATAAGCTTCAGAATCACAAGTCCTGTCTATAGTCTGGGGAAAAAAGGTCCACATCTCTGCTTAGTATACAAAGAAAAGAGCTGACATTCACAGAAGGCAAAATTAAAAAAAAGGAAAACCAAAAGTTTTTTATGAGAACGGTGGAGACGAATATTGTAAATCAGATTGCAAAGTTGCTGGCTAAGACAAGCAGTGACAGCTCTGAGGTGAAAAAGAGATGTCTCAATAACCATTTGCCACATTTGGGGAGGGAGAGAGCAGGAGATAGATGGTGAAGTAACTACTGAATTTGGGATCCAATTGCAAGTTACCCGGCATCCTGGATGGAATGAGAAAGACAGAGTAGACAGGAAGGCATTTCTGGTGTTGAAGAGAAAAAATACAGACGAGTATGGGTATATAGACGAGGGAAGAATCAGTAGATTGAAAGATAATGATATAAAAGGGAAGAATCAGTAGATTGAAAGATAATGATATAAAATATAGAAAAATACAGCCTTATCTAAAAGCTTTCTTCATAGGTTCTCCAAGCTCCTCCCCCAAAGTTTGTCCTGAAACTTCTTGTTTCTAAATTTAACAAGGACTTGTGTGACTCTAGAGCTGCCTCATTTGTCCAACAATAGCATTAGCTCTAATAAACACTGTATAGTACCCAACACATTTGCCTCACCTTTTATTTACCACATCCCATTCTACTACTGCTACTATCACCACTAGTTCCTGTCCTTTTCACATAGATTACTCTTCTGCTCTAAATCACAGGGAATCAAAAAAAGTGGTGGCAAAATATAAGTCTAAACACTTTTGCTGCATTTTTTCCAGAAAAATAAAGTTTAGAGTGTAATATTTTTGTGTCAGTTATAAAAACAGTAACCTACCAACATCATTTGGATTTCCTGGAAATATCAGAGTTTAAATATTTTTCATTTTATGTTAGATTTCTTCACAAACAGAAAATATACAATCAACATTTTTTTGTGGTTAAGCAAAAAAAATGCAGAGACAGTTTTATAATTAAAATCAAATTTTTACCAATTAAATTGATAGGTGTTTAATCAAAAAGATCTTCTATTTCATGAAAAGATTAACTTGTATATTGAGTTTAATTTTTAACCGATGAAAGAACAACTGCTATCCTAAAAACAAAGTTTGATTGTACCATGATTAAAACTCTTGGGCTCAGAGTGAAATGAGCTTTGTGGATACTTTACTGACATCAAGAAATGGATACTATTTCCTGTGAAAAATTTGGAAGCAAGAAGAGATCCAATGGGAGTTTTACAGGATGCAAGCTATGAAAAAAGTAGAGCAGAATTAACATCTGCATTTAACTAACCATTGCCCCAGTCAAGAGGCCCTCCTTTTACAAGTAAGGATGTCATTTTTAGATGTTTATAGCATGTGGACACTTCACAAGTGATGAAAATGTACACAGAGTAAACCAAATGCATTTGTCATGCAGCCAATGTCGTTGTGTGATCAGACCCAACTTAAAATATAAATGTTTTTCTTCAAAATGATCTTTTTCCCAAAACATGTTTGAATTACTCCTGCATTTGGCATGACAACTATAGATTTTAAAGACACTGTTCTACATCTAAAATACCTGTTCAGATTTAGGAAAACTACTATAAACAGGCCTTATTCCAAAGGAATAAGTTCTTGGACTTTCACAGGAATTTGCCTTATGACTTCTTGGAAACCTTTGTAAAAAATACTCTGGATCTTATTATTCTGGGCTTCACAGTCATATCAAATGCAGAGACTAAACCAGTTTAAAAGGAACTTGTGATGATTATCACTGCATTTATTTTCAACAGGTGAAAACTGCTGGAAAGGATGGAACAAATTTTCTGCAGCAAGCTGGGAAATCTTTCCCAGACTAAAATTTACAAACATACAGAGAAACAATTTTTTTTTAAAATCAAAAATAAACTAAAACTACCTTGTATGATACCAAGCAAATTTCCAAACACTAGCTTTGGGTTCACCTTCACTTGGAATGGTGTGCAATATATCTGGAATTGGCTGTTAAAAGGGGTAGGAATGCAGCCCTACCATCTTCCATGGCATCATCCACAAAGGTTCAAGAATTTTTCTACTGTATTGACAATATATTAATTGAAGGAAAAACCATCAAAACAGTACTAAGTAATAACATCACATAATCTTTGTCTTTTCCCCAACCTGAATGATTAATCTGAAGCCAGCATGAAGGCTGAACTCCTCAGGCTATAAAATGCCCCAGTGTACGACATGTTAATATATGCTGAAGAGGCTGCCATGAATTTGCAGAAGTAATGGCCTTTTTTCAGCTTAGAACATATTTGGGAGCCTCAGTGGCCCTGAGAATATGTATACACAGCCTCCTGAGTGCTCAATAATGTAGTGCAGAAATGGCTCAAAGCCTGGTGTCATGTTAATCAGCAGCAGTGAGGAAAAACATTTTCAGCATCAAAAGAATGGAAAATAATACAACAGCTACTCAGAGAAACATCTATGTGAACACGTGATGTAAATAAGAAAACCTGAATTCAAAGGTCATTTAAGAAGCATAGTAACCAGGCTCAGCAGTTAGCCAGAGAGGCTTATGGTGTGGGCACAAAGTAAAGCTGTTTTTAGCCAGGTAGGTCCATGAAATTTCTGCTCATGTACTGAGGAAGAAAACACATCTTAGACTTGTCTCAGGAAGCCATAGTGCAAGCAATCAAACCGTGTGAAATCAGTAGAACAAAAGGACATGCACGAAAAGTATGAATGTTGAAACAGTAAATGTCATGGGAGAAAGGGAAGTTTGAAGAAGCCTGGAAAGTAGATCAGCCCCCTTTATCTTTACAACACCGGTCTGTGCAGCAGCAAAGTCATACAAGATTTTCTTCTTGAAAAGATAATATAGGTGGTATCCTAGGCGCAATATATGTATGTGTTGGCATGATGGAATACAGCCTTGCCTAGTCTTAGCAGTAATCATTTCAAAACCACAGCTGTCGAAGAATGAAGGGAAGATTGTGGAGCAGAGCAAGCGTATCATATTCCTTCTAATCCCTTGGCATCTGGAAAGGTAGAACTGTACATCTCACTTGAAACGGCACTCCAGGAAGAGGGTATCTCAACTCTATGAAGTTGGGGGAGAGCCAGTTAATACAAATGTAGGAACTCATCATAGCATTCCCACAAAAAGCCATTTATCACAATTTCAGCTGGGTGATAAAGTACCAGCCAGCCCCTCGGACATCAGAATTAGGACACAAGGTTGTGTCTATCCTCCTGCAACAATTGAAATCCCTAAGGAAGAAGTCCTTATCACTTGAGGACCAGGAATTACCTACTAGGCAGCCTTTGAAAAAATTATAAAAAAATTATATATGTGCTGTTATGTACCATAAATAGTCTTAATTTACTTCAAAGCCATACCATGTGTTTTGGAGACACAAGATGTAGGTATTTGAAGGTTTATGTCTAAACAATTCCTGGCTACATGTTGCTCAAGAACATGTTGCATGGATGATCCATTCCTGGAAATGTTCAGGTTGGATGGGGATTTGAGCAATGTGGTCTCATGGAAGGTGTCCAGGCCTATAGCAGACGATTCCAATTTTAAGGCCTCTACCAACCCAAACCATACTGTGGTTCTATTGCATTGGTCAATGAAAGAACAGGACATGAACTTGGCAGGGTTTCACCAGCAGGCTGCCCTGTCTGGGAAGAGGCCATGAACTGTCCCGTGCCACTTACAGTCATGTCATGGCAGCACTGACACCGCTAGTGCATACCTATCTTGGTTTGGAAGATGGATATCTGCCAAGGGAGGTGGGAACCTCCCTTGGAATGGAGAATATGACTTTCTTCCCTCTGAATTATTTTAACCTTGAAATTAAGGAGATTACAGGCAAAGATATGGGGAAAGGAGTAACATTTCTTTGCTGGTAGGTGGGTGTATAACAAGACAAACAACCGCACCGGCAGCGGCCGCAAGCCGAGCAGGAGCCAGCGACGCTTCCCGGCCGCGGGCATTTCCCCTGGCTGCAGCCCCAGGCCCGGCCGGCAAGGGGCGCTGTGCCGCGGGCTCCCTCACGCCGTGAGGGCGGATGGGCTGCATGGCGGAACGGGCCTGCAGGAACTCCGGAGCCGCCGCTGGAGCGGCAGGGCGGCCTCACCCGGGGTAGGTGACTAAGGGGTAAGCAAGAGGTAGCAAAATCGCCGCAGCTGTTTCAGGGGCTATGGGGTGTCCCAGCAGGAAGGGGGTGTGAGTTAGAGAGCAGCGAAAAAGCCCGAGGCAACAGCGGAAAGCAGCGGGGCTGGGCAGCGGCAGGCGGGCTCCTCCGCAGCAGCTGCCGCATGCAGCCAGGGAGACACACCCTCCGGGAAGGGGCAGAGCGTTGGGGTCTTAGTTTTTTCCCCTGAAGCATCCGAGCAGATGGCAAAGGTCCATTCCAGTGAGGCAGGGTGACAGTAAGGTCCCAGTTCAATGGCTCCTCTCCTGAGCAAAGTCGCACCCATGGTAGGAGAAAATGGAGCCGGGCTGGGCGAATTCCCCCACCAAGCAGCGGCTCGACCATCCTCCTCCAAAGTCGAGAGAGCAAGAGGGCTAAGAGCTGTTCTAGCCCCTTTATCCCCAGCTCAATTCTTGTGGTAGCTCTGCCCCTCGGAGAGAAATCACTCAGCTACGAGAGTAGCCAGCCTTCCTGTGGAAACTTCTTTCCTCTCTCCTAAGTTTATCACTCGTTACGGTTTCTTAGTGACAGATGGGACAAAATTCCATGAGAGAAAGAAAGAAGAGGAAAAATCCTAAACCCCAACAACACCAAACCTTCAACTGGTCTCAGGAGCACAGAGTATTCTTGCTGGAGCACACATAAAGAGTCAGCCAACAGGGACAGAAGACACAGGAAGACATGGCTTGAGAGACTCACAGAGGGAGACTGCAGAAGGAACGTGTGGCTGTAGATGTGCTCGGGGCAGTAGAGGTACCATGCCAACAGGAGACCTCCTGGAGGTACTGTGGCAAAGTACTCCCTGAGGGAGCGTGGCCATTCACACCAGGGCTACCCACAACAGAATGGGACAGCCCTGAGGGACCATAAGTGCCCTTCATAGGGGGTGGGACACTGAAAAGCAAAGAGAAGCAGAGGAAGATCAGCAAGAAGCAGCAGCAGAAAGACACCATTAAGCTCATTACAACCTTCTTGCTCTGCATGTTAACCCAGCAAAGGAGCAGAAGATGGGCTGGGCACAACCTGCAGTGGAAACCAGGGAAGCTGATATAGAGTGGGTAGGGTTGTTTGGGCTTAGAATTAAAGAAGGGAAGAGGGAGGTCCTTTAGGGTTTGATGGATCAATTTTTTTCTCTCAGTTCTCAAACCCATGATTGGAAGTTGGCGTTAATTGACAGTAAGCTAATTTAAGTAAAGGTTCCATGAGTTGAGACTGTTTTGCTCATAACATTCTCTCAAAACATTTTTACTAGACTCCAAAGAGCAGGTTCCTGTGCCAGAGCATGCAAAAACAGTTTGCATAAGGCTAGAAGAAAGTGGAATGCTTCTGTCAAAATGATCTTAACCAATGATTACTATTATCATTGCATTTTCTAACACAGCTGACACCTGATGAAATTCAAAGTGATTGCAGTACAAGACAACAAGAGTTAAAGCAGGAAAGAGTCTCAGGCACAGGAGACCCAAACATATGAACCAGAGTAACATCAGGAAAATACTGGTCTTGGCTAGATGGCAGTAGGCTGAGTCACACTTAACTCTTGCCAAGTTAAATCACTGTAACTAACAGTTAAAGCTTAAGGAAAGCTTAAGGACGGTTGTAGTGACATAATTTTGATATAACAGTGCAGTGGCCATTTTATATAACACCACATTAAAAAATTATTAGTCATTTCACCTTAGAGAAAATAGAAAGATGGAGAATTAAGTGCTTCATTTTTAAAGTTCATGCTACCATGTATGCCACTCTAGCACTGCTACTGAAATTGTTCAAATGAAAACTATGTGATGGTTTGCTGGCTTATTATTGGTTTTGTTTGGGTTTTAAAAATCAGATTTAAAAGGCAAACAATGCTAGAGTTCAGTCTCCAGGAGTCCCTGCAGCACCTCCCTGTCCCAGCTGAAAGCCCCATCTACTGGATTACAGACAGTATCATTTCACCATCTTTCATCCAACTAGTCATCTCTCTCAACTCTGAGTTGCCTCTGCAAGAAGTCAGGAGCACAAGTGTTTCCTTCCCTTGCTCAGGACCCTCTAGTTAGAGGTCTTAGAAAGAAGGAATTTCCACCTGCACTTCACCCCAGGCTACTGATCTTACAACATGGATACCTCATTTTCCAGCCTGTATTTTGCTCACCTCTGGGTGTCCTTTTGGAAATTGTGTTTCAATTCAAGCTCTTCCCAATTCTTGCAACAGATACTTAAACCATATATCCCAGTCCAAACTCTAGATCTTCAGTATGCAAACAGCTTTTTATTTTCTACAGTAGATAAAGGAGACTTCTGGGCCTTGTATGTGAATGCAGCAGTATTTTGCTGTTCATCATGTGCAGAATTACTGAGACTCATTGAGATGGGTTTAGACCTCTAAGATCATCAAGTCCATGTATGGAGTATCATGCAAGGAATTTTGTTTGATTTTTCTGCTGTGGTCTTCATACACATTGTACAGAAGTCATGCTGCCTAATGCTTTTTATTTGCATTGTATTTTGAAAACCACATGCCTCAAATTAGACACTGGGCAAACCTGATGATTTTGCAGGTATAAGATGGGTGAGTTGGTCTTACAGGACACAGCCAGCCACAGCAGGAAGCCTTCTGCCCTTTCCTCCCTTGTTTCCACCTCACTTCCACTATCCCATGCTAGGCCAGCCACTCCCTTGTGCTGGCAGGAACACCCATCAAACACTCTGCAGAGCAAACTCAATGCAGATGAGTCATTTGCTGATTTATCAAGCTGAATCATCTTAGTACAGGCCTTGATGGGCACCAGACCAAAAAAAGGAAGAAGAGAAACAGAGATCCCACTCCTCATCAGGGGCATGTTTCCAGACTGCCTATAGAAACCGGTGATAGAAAAACTCAAGTTCAGTCTTCTTATGGATACAGCCCCAACGGTATCTAAATTCCAGCTTTGCCAGACTGGCAGAGTTCATACTTGGCACACAGGACAACCCTTAAATAGCAGCTTTGATGTTAAAACTGTGAGCTCTGAGCAAGCTCCAATAACACAGTTCACCCTTGCTTAATAATACATTCAAATCCTTGTTGATATATTGAATATTGATTTAATACTAGCAACTTTCCTGTGCCTAAAATGGATGATCCCATAAGAAGTTATTAGTCCAGAGCACAGATGCTTCTGCTTGAATCATGAAAGCAGGCAGTCCCAGTGAAACCAGTCACCTCCACAGTTGCATGACAGCTAAACTGCTGATAAAGCAAGACCCTTAACTTTTTGTAGCAGTTCTGTAACTTCTGACTACAGACAGCCCACCAACAGTGAAATTAAGTTTTTCAAAAGCATGTAATTGAGGTCTTGCTTTTGTCATTTAAGATTGCATGAGCACAAATCTGAAATTCCCCTGGAGGGCCCCACCCTCTCCACACTGACTATCTCAGCATTTCTCAAATTCTTACACTTTTGTTTAAGGAAAAAGTGTCCAAACTAATTATAAGCTATCTATTCAGGCTGCATTATTGACATTAACCAATACACATATAAATTAACTAGCTTTCTAAAAGCAATCTGTTTAAAATGTGGTATCATTTTCCTCAGAATTCAAAACAAAACCCCTAGAGACACTTGTGCTCCTTCCCTCCAGTAAAGCACAATCCAGACATCTCTTTTCATCTCCACACTTCTTGGCAAAAAGTTTAGGAAGACTGTTTCTCAGTGGCCCTAAATACTTCCACGTGTTAAGAGCACCACAGCAAAGATCTTGTTGTCCACAACCACTGGGACTGCTTGCAGAAAATTTTCCACACAAGCAGTAAAATGATAAATGTAAGCAGCCTGAGTCATCTGTCAGTTTTAAAGCAAAATTTCTCTAAAACTGTATTATTTTCCAAAGAGCTCAACTCTTCTAACCTACAAATCAAGACCACAATAGGGCCACAGCAGAACTGAATTTCAAGCAGCCTTGCTGTCAAACTGCTTATCAGGCATCATGTGTGCACCATCTACAGCTTTCAGTCAACATTAGGAACATGTATTTCTCCTTCTCTTTCACAGTGAAGAGGTAGATATTTAAGATTTGAGGTGTTGTTTTTACAAAGTACCTGAAAGAAAAAAACCAATCTAGGCACAGCAGCAAGTATGCTTATTAACATAGTACAAGAAGAAAGAAATGTCTTAAAACCAAGTCATATAAATGGGAAATGACAGTTTGGACTGCATATTCCAGTTCAGCAGTCCTCCACCTGGAAAAAAATAAAAACGTGGTACTGGGGACTTTGCTACTTTCTCCACCCCCAAATGTTTATTTTGACCAAATACCAACGTGCTACTACATACAGATTTTTTTGACCAGGGTTCAGGAAAATCGTCCCTGATACACACTGAAGCAACTAGAAGCTTATCACAAAACATACTATTGTGTTTCATTCTGTGGTTTTGCCATAATTATTTTTTAAAGACTGTCGTGTGACGGCAGACTTTCTGGTGAGTAACTATCCGCTGTCCTGGGACTGCCGGAACTCCGCTTTCTTTCCTAAAATGGAAGCTGTGCTCCAGCCGAGCTCCCCAGCACCCGAAACCCCCTTCGAATCTTCTTCGAGAACAACCCTGCACTCAAGGGCCCAGCTGGGGCCGGGACCACGTATTCACCGCAAATCATAAATCAGTCCGTTTCCAGTGCGGAAGGCGGGCAGAAAAGTCAGGAATACTTTTCCAGCGAGTTAAATGAGAAGAAAGAAGTAGAAAAAAAAAACACAAATAAAAAAGGCTGGAAGGAGAGAGCGCTGTTTCCCCGGTCTGGGCAGACAGACAGACACGGCTAGTCAGGGTCCGCTCCGCCGACCCGCCCGGCTCCATGTGGAGCGGCAGCCCTCGGCCCCCGCCCCAGGGGCTCAGGGCAGGGGAGCGCTCCTCAACTCCCACCCCTCCTCACCTCTGACGGAGATCAGGACGGCAAGGAGCACCGGCAAGAGAAGGAGTGTCCACCGCCTCATGGCTGCCTACTCCACAAACCCAGACACACAGCACCCGCTGCCTGACAGCCGCTCCCAGGACCACCGCAGCTGTTCCAGCGGCAGCAAGGGCGGCACCGCCCCAGGGCCGGGCCACCGCCCCAGCGCGTTCCGGTCGCCGCGCCCCGGGGCCCCTCCTTCCAGCTGCGGCGGCGGAATAGCTCCGGGACCTGTCAGCTGAAGGTGGGAGGTGGGCTTTCACTGTGGGCCGAGATGAAGGAGTGGGGCTTCGTCGTGCTGCCCGCTGCCGTGCAGCCTGCCTGCGAACCGAACGGGGCTTTCAAAGGAGACTACGGGGCTTAAACTCTGGTCCCAGGTTTTAACAGCAGACATGAATGCTCAAGTACCGCTACCTTCTCTTAAAACGCGCACTCCCTTTCATTGTTTTTCCTCAGGAAAAGTTACCCAACATTAAGCACACCAGGACACCTAATAATGCTGCCTATGGCAGGCTTGCTTTTTCTTTAGTCAGAGCAAAAGAGTTTTGAGTTTTGTATCTGACCCTTGTGCTGAGCTGTGTTGAGGGCCATGTATGAAAAATACACTGCCCCCACATTCTGGTTCTTCAATTGCCAGGTATGCACTGGTTATTGACTGGATAATAAACAGTATAGTGACACACAGTGTGATTTAGAATGTAGCTGGTTTTGTGCAGCTGACTTGGATTTAGTAGTCATAGACCTATACTTTTCTCAGAGAGGTCCTATACCTGTTAATTAGCATTTGCAGGATCTTGCCAGCTGGAAAAGTGGAATGTCAAATCATTGTCACCAGTTCATAAATTGAAGGGTGTTTATTTTTTCTTTTTTTTTTTTTTTGACAGTACCTAATCAGGTTATTTTTAGATTTATTCTAAGGCATATACTGTATTTTAAACTTAAAAAGTTTAAACTGTTTAACTGTACTAATAAAAACACTTGAAATGCCTTGTTTGAAATTAAAGATAAGCTTTTTCATTGAAATATCTGGGTTTTGCAGGAGTACTATTGAAGTCAACATTATCTAGTGGTTAGTAGCTCCCATTTTTTGCCAGACTCCAAGACAAGAAGGTAAGATTGGATATGTGCACATGCATTGTGTAATCTATCAGTATGGATCTTGCCATTAATGCTACATGCACATACACAGGAAATTATTAATGTTGCCCAAAGGATGTTCTTGAACGGAGTGTTTATTGTTGTTAAGAATCAACTAAGAACTTGGTCCCTTGCTAAAAAGAACATGAATTTGTTCTCCTTAGACTACTGCACACTTCTTTAATTATGTCATACCAAAACATATCTCCCGCCCAAGAACTGCAGAGTTAACAGAGAAAACCTTGGTATCTCACTGATATTACTGTGCCAGAATGGGCCCTGTAGCTTCCTGTTGCCAGAATTAGTCTTCATCAAAGCTCCCTTCTTCAGATGATGTAAAAGCAACTTCCTGTTAGAATAGACGTGAAATAACTGCATTTAGTACTAGAGTTTGTGTTTTCCACTTCGTTCAATCCTTGAGGCAGGAGTACAACTAGCTGGCACTAGCCACTTTATGGCTAATAATTCTTCCAGATTTATAAATGTCTGGTAATTTGTTTTTCAGTCTTAATAATCTTATGATCTGAGATTTCACTGACATTTTGTGAAAATGAGGTTCCAGATTTGTTGTTACCAGCTCTTCTATGTATGGACTTGATTAGAAAAAATATCAGGCTTTGTTGTTTCACATGTAAAGCCAACTAATCTGTAAAAAATCAAAATCATTTACTAACAAGGCTGGTTTTCCTATTGTGTGAGTAACAGTTGTAATCTGAGACCCACTTCTTCCAATAGCACCTATCTTTGTTTTGCCCAGCCTCCAGTGGTTGTCCTAGCAGGTCTTTTACTCTCTCTGTGCTCTACCAGGAAGTCTCTGCAGATAGTGTGGGCATTTTTCTGGTCTGAAGATGCTGTGGTAGGAGAAAAGATTGCCTTATGGCTTATTTCTAAAGAACATGACCTTTAAAAGACATGCGTGGTCTGTGGTTTGACATGAAGAAAAATGTGGCTTTATAGAGCATCACAAAGAAGACTTGGAATTTTAAACCCAGGTGAAACTGTTCAAACTTGAATAAAATCTGTGGTGTGCACAGCTGAAGAGCTGTCTCTGAGCTATGAAGGTAAATCTTTCCAGTGTCTCCCAATTCAACTTCTGAAATAAGATCCTTGTAGCTCTTTTACTGCCTCACACTAATTTCCCCCCCTTTTACCTATGAGTTTTCAGCCTTGCCAGAAATATCATAGCTCTCCAGATGTCCAAAGAAGCAAAGGAAAGACAAATAGATTTTTATTTTCTAAAGAACAGTTCTTTATGGTGCAGTTAAAACCTTACTGCTCTGTCCCCCAGGGACACCCTTTGCAATCAGAGGGCCACAACCACTGTCCATGGATGGTGAAGCAGACAGACAAGGACAGCACTAAGGAAAAAAGAAAGGAGATGGGAAAGATTGACAAACTATGCTTTCATTCACATTTGTGTTCAGTTGCTGCTATAAAATTGGTATGAGCACAAAAAAGCCCCTAGAAATTATGTTGCCTTTTTTTGTTTTCACAATTCACTAAAATCTGGCAATACTCTGTAATGTCTTTATTTCAGGTGCAATGTTTCTGAGGCTAACAACACAGATCCAAGCAGTGTGTTTGAGTGCATTGATGTTGTGGCTCTATCTAACAGCATGAATTAGAAGAGTATTTGCCCTAAGTATCTTATGTTTTTCACTCATTTGGAGATCAGACTGAAAGCCAGGGTTTCATCTCTGGTTTCTGTCATGGCATCTACTGAAGTATGTGCTCTTATCTTTAGGTTTCTTCTTGCTGTGAGGATATAAATGTTTGCATTTGTAAGTACTTTTAACTTAAAGTGCAAACAGGTAACACCTTATCTTCTCCCAATGTTTTCATCTTGAGCTGTGAGAAGGGACGAGTTGCACCAGCAAAGTTTCCTGTAATATTTTATCAGTAAGTGAAGTTTTAGGGCCACAAACAATCTGATATGGTATAGCCAGTTAATACAATCATGATTTTTTTAAAAAGGATTAAGTATAAAGAACTTGTTAAAAACATAGTTAAACCCTATTTAATCTTCGGTCACAAATTATAACTACAAATTATAGTTTTGTTTGGGTTTTGTTTGTTTGGGTTTTGGGTTTTTGGGTTTTTGGGGTTTTGTTTTGTTTTGTTTTTAAATTACAGTAGTATTCTCAATTCTAAGGGTATATTGAGAATAAGCAAGAGTCCAAAGAGGCTCCAGAATCTCTGCTGGCTCCCCCTTGGATGCTATTTTCTGATGATATCTGCCTTGCAGGACAGGAGAGACAAGATACTGCAGCCTAAGTTTTTCTTCCCAAGGAAGAAAACTAGATTCCTCTAAAGCCAGCTACTTGATAACAAATAGTGCTTCAGAAAGGAGTTTCTTAAGTGATTCTGAACAACTTCTGCAAATTACCTGATCCTTGCCACCCTGAGCTTTTCCTGCAGTAAATGTCCTCTTTCTGCTAGTACCTCTTGTTCCCTCCAGTAGCAGCAATAATTGCAGTGTGCTTACATGGTCTTCAGCATTGGCTTTCATACTTTGGCACCAAGGTCCATGGCAACTGAGAGCCCATCTCCTTTAAAGCCCATTTCTCCCACTATAAAAGTTTTGTTTGACAACAGTTTCTTCACTGAAGTCTAGTAAGCTGAGCTTTTTTGGTGTCTGGAGAGACATTTATGGCAGTTTTCCTTCATAAAGTATGAGCTAGAAATATCTACTCTGGTATAAATGCTGAAAGCAGTCTAGTTTTAGCAGTAGATGGTACAGACCTCTACACAGGCTTATAAATTATAGTGAAAATATTGTTTTGGGTTTTTTATTAATATAAAGCCTTTTAAGGCAGGCTATTGTATAATTTTTTCCAAGGAAAGTAAAGTAGGTCTTTTGCTGATAGGAGCTCTTGATTCCTCTAATAATGTTTCAATTTTATGCTAATTATATAAACTTGTCTTTGTATTTAAATTTGTATTTAATTCATGATTGACTATGTATCTTTTGAAACCTTTTTCTTCTGTCTCTTCATTTTACCATGAAATTTTGTTTTGAGTATTTTGAGTCATTTTTATGTAATGTAAATATTTGACTTACTAAAAAGAAAATCTGGAATATCTTTCCTCTCCTTTTGGCAAAGTGACAGTTTTAGTAATGAAATGTTTGTTCCTTTTGATAAACATCTGATGTCAATTTTTTTTTCTTTTTTGTTTCAAGAACAAAATAATTGAATTTTAAGATGGTAACTTTATATTTGTTTTGTATATATTTCTCCTGATCCCAAGTTATGTTTGTCTCTGCTCTTCAGACAGAAAAGAAAGAGAAAACTCACTGAAGTTCTTAAACAGGTAAGTACCACCTTCAGTTTATACTGTTTGATTGAGCTGCATCCTTCCAAGACTAATGTTTTTGGCACTCCTGACATATATTAAAGATCTTATTCTACAAAACCAGAGCATGTGAGTATATGTTTTAGTTGTTCATGTACTGCTGCCATTTGCCGTATTATCTAAACAATTCCTATTTAAGGCTTTTGTTCCCATTTGCATTTTCTCCTCAAAGGAAAAATAGCTCATTGTCATAAACTGTTATTTTCACAAGAAGTAAAACAGAGTTGGAATGCCTTCATATTCAGTAGCAGACCAATCTTTGTGGTATTCCCCATACTGACATTGTCTAGACAGTAAAAAAAAGAAGAATGTTCCTTTATTCTTGAAAATCTTCCTTTTGAGCTCAAGTCTTCATGTCTCCTGTTTCAGAATCAAGTTTCCTAAAACATCTTTCCTAAAAGAATGGAAGGAAGCAGTCATACATGTCATTGCCTGTGTTCCACCCCTTCTTGCCTCAGGGATGCAGCACTGTGTAACCAGGGCTTGTTAGGTCTTTCTTTCCTGCATTCCTTTCTCTGATCCATGCAGCTGAAACCACAAGGCCACCTGCACCAGGGATGTGAGCTGGATGGACCAGTGGCCTTTTTGAGAGGCTTTTTTGAGTTGCATGAACTCTAAAATTACCAGGATTTAGGAATTTTCAATGATATAATCCCAGTTTATGTGGTATACTGATGCCTCAGGTTAAAAATTCAAAAACCTGATTTAGAACAGGGAAGAAAACTAAGGTTTAATGAATGCTAATTATTCTTGTATGGTTTCTTGTCTTCCGTATCTCCATCTCTGTTATGTAGGATGAGTTACGTGACTGCTCAGTTTCATAAACACGGTGAGGGTGTAGCTGGATTCTTGAAAGAGGCCAACAGATCTGACAAACATGGCAAGAATTTAGCAGCCACTTGTGAAGGCATTTTGTTCATAATGACTTTTGAATATGCACACAAGATGCATCACATCACAGCAAAATCTTTTGAGCTCCACTGGTAAAACAAAACCATCAATGTATTCCTTGCTTAGATCTCCTTCATTAAGATGCTGTGGCAAATGCTGCTGGCAACTTCAGCCATCTACAGGCTGACAGGAATAAACTATTTTAGTCCTGTGTTGCAGCTGCTCCAGTATGTTATGATGTGTACTGTTGTTGCCCTTAAAGGGGCTATGGGAAAGTAGAGGAGGAGGAAATCTTTATCAGGAAGTGTAGTCAGAGGACAAGGGGTAGTCCAGGGGAACTTGATCTAGCAGAAGGTGTCTATTACTATGGCAAGAGGTTGGAACTCTGTGATTGTTAAGATTCCTTCCCATCTAAACCTTTTAAATTTATGCTTCAAGCTGTATCACCGTTTCAAAGACAGTGGTCTTTGTCAGTGCATAGCCTGGCTATGGACTCAGTGACCAAAAGAAAAACAAGGCAGGTATGTGTTAGGAGACATGCTCTATTTGGTGCCTGTTCACAAAGACAGAAAGACACTGCTCTAGAAAAAACGTAGTTATAAATACGAATGAAAAATCATGACTGTGAGAAACTTGCAGTGCTTCAAATATGGGAATACCCAGCATCTATCTGATGTCACACACAAGAGAACTAAACACATTGCTAGTCATGCATGGCCTGAGGAACAAATTAATCCGAATAGTCAAATGTCCCTCTAATGGGGTGGGTGTTTTGAAAAGATGACTAGGAAACCATAATTCTTATTTCCCTCTGAAAACTTTAAAATTCTCCTTAAAAAAATAATTTTCAGCATTGAAGTGTATTTCCTGCTTTAGGATCTTTCTTGTGGTTTATCTTGTCATCTGCTTAGGAGCAGATGGCACTCTGTGTCTTTGTGCTCCATAACACTGGTCAGCCAGCTCACGATGTTCTCTCCTCAGCCCAGAGAGCTTTTTTTCAGATCATGACACAGAAATACATGGCTGCTCTTGTGCACTTTGTTGGTGAAAATAAGTTGGTTTCCTGAGTTTGGCTCCCAGAAGAAGGCTGTTAGTATCATTTTCCTTACAGTCTGTACTGCAGTGCTGGAAAGAGGGACATAATGATAGGGAAGAGTAGATATTTGTCTGGGTGGAGAAAGCAGAGAATTGAGGAGTTGCTGATATTGATATTGTGGTCCCGCTGACAAGAAAACAAAAACGGTTAAAATTATTGCATGATTCAGTTTTCAAGGAGTGATATTATATTTCACAAATTAATCACTTGATTCATATTTGGACTTTTTTTTTTAAACTAGTGATTTAAATTTAGTTGAATGTCTAGAGGAAAACTGTAGGTTGGGGGTTTTCTCCATATTACAGAGGGCAATAGTTTTTCCTCCAATTCTCTATTAATTATTTGCTTCCTTTTTGCTTCTGCCTTTCTCCATTTGCCTGCAAAATAAAAGCATATATAACAGACAGGCACTTAGTAGGACTAAATAATTCAAGTTTTTTTATTTTTCCCTTAAATGATATCTTATGAATAAAAATGTACATATTTATATGTAGTTTTGTTGCTAATGCTGGGACCTGGGGAGGCAGACCTACACTTTTATTCTTATCAAGTAGCTTCACAACTGTATTTAAAAAATATTTTCCTCTTATTATCTAAAGAAAAAAAAAATCAGCTTTCTAAAGTAAAATTATAATGTTCTTGATTGTCTAAATTTTACCACACTGCAAATTAAAAACAAAAAAAAAAAAAGAAAGATAAATACAAGGCAAAATGGGAAACTGGTATGTATGTGAAACACAAACCACACAGCTGGAACCCCCCCTTTTCCTGCCTGTGTAATTTAAGAAAAGCTATTAAGTCAAACAATACAGCATTTTCCATTTGAACACATAAAATTTGAGTTCATAAAACACGCTAGCATAATTCTTCCTGCCTTGGGAACACTAGCTGTGAATAACTTCTCCACAGAATGTAAGAAATGTGGAAAGCAAGCGTCACTTGAGAAAAATAGCTCATGCATTTGTCATGCCCACATCCATTTTTGTGACTCATTTATTTTTGTGCTGCTGTTTTCCTAAGTGCCCAGAGTGCTATCAGAAAGCTTAAACAAATGACAGCCAATCCTCTTGCCTTTCTTTTTCTGTGACTGGAGTGGGGAATTGGAGTGACACCTTATTTGTCCTGATAGAGTCAGATTTTCACTTATGGGACTTTTTATTGTCAGGTTTAAAAATCTCAGTTATGATTCTTTGCTATTCTTATAATTACTTTACCTTCTTTTCCCCAGATACTGTTCCATTTTGTTGCCTTGTCTCCTTCTGCATCTGGGTAATAGGAAAAGTGAATTAGACTTGCCCTTGCTGTCAGCTCAAAGCACTAAACAGAAGCCAGCAAAGGAATTCACCACAGCTTTAATGTTAAGTACGCCCAGCTATGTCTGGTGCTATGAAGTCAGAGAGAACATGTTGAGAGAGAGATTAACTGTAGACCCTTCCTCTGCAGCCTTCTAATGTAAAATCTGAAGCTATATACTCGACAAGATTTAAAAGAAGCTAAAACTACATAATGTTATCAGATGTGGAGGAGTGATCAAAAGCACAAATGTGTATAGATGAGGTCTTGCATTGCTACTGACTACATTGCATCTCATTTGTTGTTAAACCCTAATGAATGGGACGGCTTGTTATGCTTCAGCCTGCACTGTGTTAAGTGCAGTGACAGACTTCATTACTTCAAAGCCAGATAAGAAAGTGGAAGGCATCAGTTGATCATATCTTACATCTCAGAAAGGCAGTAAACTTTATAGATCTGTAAAGGGCATTTCTACAATAATTATCTATTTTATTATAGATGGTCCCCACTTCTAGTTAGCATCTGCTGATATATGTGCCAGGGGAGAATCTTTTTAAAGGTACAAAATGCTACAGAAGTCTATAATTATTTTCTTCCTGCTTATTAGTAAGAACTAATTGTATGTTCACATCTGTGCTTTGTGTGCCAAATATATATTTTTTACCCTTCCCTCCATATGCTTCCTGTTAGCATGGGTTCCTATAGAAGACTACCATGTAATGGCACACTGGGGACAGCTGTGGCCTGTGGTTTAGATGAACATTGCAAAAAAGTAGAGATAGGTGCCCTTAGCCTCTCACTGTGAATACTCTGCAAAGCAATGTGATTATTGGGAATTAGCTGTCTTTTTATAATTAAAGTAGCCCACTTCTACAGACCTCCACTGCTATATGAGAGTACAGAATGTACATCATTATTTTTGGTTTGTATAAAGGTTCAAAGAGGACTTTACATATTTTGAGCAAAAGTAGGGATTGTTTAGTGATGCAAACAGGGAGATTACAAACAGAGATTTCTATTTCTGTTCCTCCTTTGCGATCTTGGAACTCCAGAATCTCTGCTTCTAATTTCTTTCCATAGCTCCACATGTGGACTGATATCCTTGAAACTTCCAAAATTTAGCTTTTTTTTTTTTTTTTTTACGAGATAAAATGTGACTGGTGCTGTCCTTGGATACAGCCAATGCAAATGCATTGGATGACTTGAGCAAACCACAGGTAGCATAAACATAATTTTTGTCTTCCTGGATACAGAATCAGGAAGGATACGTTTCAGTCTGCACAGCTGAAATTAGCACAGCTGAAAAACTGACCAAAGCTCTATTGGAACATCTTTGCAGAGGCTGTGTGTGTGGAGTACACCAAGCCTCAGCTGTGTTACATTCTGGTGCTGGGGGGACTTGACATCACAAAACTGATACTGCCTGAAAAAGCAGATGTTTAAGATGTTTTGTTTCTGTGACATAACCACGTATAACAAGAACCCATTGATTTCCAGAGGCTTAACTACGTACAAAGGTCTCTTCCCTACTCTGCTGGCAATTTTCTACAATAACTTCCCAGTCCACTTTCTGAAGACAGCAGTGAGAAGGAGGTAGAAGAATCTCTTCTTTACTGTCTTATGCACAGCTGAAAATATTTTGAAGCACCTTCAGGTCTCACAGCATTTTTCTCTGCTG